AATATGGCCCTATGGTAATTAATATGCCAGAGAAATAATAACAAAGCGTGTGTTCAAGCTAATCAATCTTCAATCAGTCAGCAGCGAAAAAAAAATTTCATGTTAAATAATCTACCAGGCGGTACGGTCTTTCATGCTAATAACGGCGCTAAATTTAAACAACCAGCCAATAAAATATTGTTGGGGCTCATTTTCTCAGCTTCAATTAAAAATAAAAGGTCGAGGTCTCGAGGCCATCTGATTTCAACCGCATTCTCGATCATTTATTCATAAATTATTACCAATTCGTGGCATTACGTAGTCGCATAGCAATTCGTCCTGCTATTCACAATGTGATTTAAAAGAAAAACGATGTTTTCATAATTAAGTTAGCTTAACGAAGTCGGAATATGCAGCAATAGTGCAATACATATGTAACTGTTGGGTCACTTTGGTTCAGCCTATACTATTGTACTGCAAACAAACAACAAACACAAGGGACAAAGAATAATCTACGATATAGCCGCAAATAACAAAATAGCGCAATATAAATTCTTAAAAAATATAACTCATTACTTACTGAAGAGAGTGACAGAGAGCGCATTTTCTCGTCGACGAAAACGTGAAGTCACGGACGGAGAGACAGACAGACGGACGAACATGACGAGCACAGTAGCGCCTTTTTTCCATAAATGAAAAAATTCTTGAAAAACTCAAAATATTTACGTTGAAATTGAAGCGCCTGCTAGGTGATCGCGGTGATCGTGTCGCTCGAAAGAGTTAAACGTTGCTCCTGCGCTGTGCTTGCCAAACTATTATTGAATCTTTAGAAGTTTTAAACTCGTCTCTAAACAAGAAAAAAGTAATCAACATAAAATGCAGTTTTTTAACTTGAAGAATGTGATTAAAGTTGAAGGAAACGAAAAGAAAGATTGCTGAATTATTTCCCGGAGTTCGACAAAGCTGTTAAGAAATATTTTAGCGTTGCTACGAAGCTTAAGGCATATCTCTGTGTTTGGTTCTTCTCAAGAGTTCGACTTGACGATAGCAGAATAAAATTGGAAGAGTTGATTGCCTGCGTCTAAAGTTACTTTTAGGCACACGAAAAGTACGGCCTGTGGCACGATTTTAACAAGAAGACGACGTCCCGAATTGAAAAGTAAAGTGCATAATTATTGCACAAAATTGCCGTTTTCTTTCTTTGTCTGTGCAAGAATTTGGGACGAGAAACAGTTACACCGTTCTTGGAAAAACCAAAATTTATAGTAGTATGAATGCTTGACACAAAAAGCAATAATTGAATGAATAACTGCAGAAGATCTTAAAAAAGTTTAAAATCGCCAGTGCGTTGGGTGCTGCTAGGCGTCCGGCCAGCAATAATTTTGTCGGGAGGACGGATGCCCAGTATTCTGTTTTTAATAATCATGCCAAATATTTTCCTTTGCCAAATATTCGAATGTGTTTTGCCAATGGCTGCTCACTTGACGTCTGCCAACCGGCGCGAAATGGAAGCCCATTTTGCATTTAATTTTGAGGAGATAATATCATCCGAATATTTTATATAAATTCAGTATATTTGGGTGATTAATTAATTCTGTCCATTGAGCTAAAATTTGAATGGGAAACTAGAAGTGCCGTTCATATGACCGTTCTGATCATATGACCGTTCTGATCATATGACCGTTCTGATCATATGACCGTTCTCATCATATGACCGTTCTGATCATATGACCGTTCTGATCATATGACCGTTCTGATCATATGACCGTTCTGATCATATGACCGTTCTGATCATATATATGAAAGCTTGGCTCAGCTGCAGTGCACGGAATTTATCAACTTATTTCTGTGGAGCGCCACTACTCGGGTCTGACATTGTGGGCAGTTGATGAGCCGCTAAAGAATGTATCAAAATTTTTGTATGGATTCATCAAAAACGTCATTTTGATGGCCGGTATTAATCCGTTGCAGCTCTGCAACGATCCATTATCGTGTCCTGAAATAAACGATGGTTGGCCTCCTCTCGACCGCCTATGACAGTCGCGCACACTCAGGCTGTGCTGGGCTACATGGCAAGGTGAGAGCTCCGCTGGGAAATTCCTGCTGTCTAAGGCAGATTAAATCAATGATTTAGGTGCAGTTTGCATGTATGAAGCTTCTTTGCTCGCTGCTTTTATTATTTCGTTTTGGAGCTTCTGCTCAAATCGTTGCGTGGTCGTCCAAATGCCCGCTACGACGACGCTTATTGCAGCGTTTGGTCTGAAAAACACCGCATTTCTCTGGCCAAAACTTAGGTGCAACCGCTATTTGGGTGAGAAATCCGAGGGGATATTTTTGTTTGAGCATTAGGTAGAACTTAAACGTAGAAATTTCAGTTATAGAATTAGGCAGGAATAACACGTTGAGCTTCCGTTTTATTGCAGTGAGTCCTAAATGCACGAACTCTGCTGAGTGTAGTCAAGGAGTGAGCAAGTCGTGTTCTTGGAGACGACATTTAAAAAAGGTCTCATCCTGATGGCATCACGCGTCAAATTATCTTAACGCACGTCATCGTTGCGCTCACGCGGTATGAGTGCCGTCATAACAATACAATCAAACGAATTATATCTTTATATATAAATTGTTAGCTGTCGTAACCATCCTATTTTTGATGTAATTAAATGAATAAACGAATTTGTACACCTAGGTGTGTATGAGAGGTTTCATACCTTCGAGAGCACTCGCTCAAAACGCCGCGTGAACTCCTTTGAGCCGTAGTTGAATTTTGCTGAACGCCACACAAAATTTACGCCAAACTTCCGAGAATGTAAAGATGCAGCCAGTAACATGTGCTCAGTTCTCCGGTCAACTCTCTTACGTCAATATGCAAGCGCTACATATTTTGCTCTGTTTCCTTGCTACATGTTTATTGTTGTTGTTGTAATTGCCAATCCTGGTAGTGGCGACTAGGGAAGGGAGGGGGTGATATGTCAGTTTTTATAGGCACTTGATGCCACTGGTAGTTCCACCACTTCCACGACTACATGGCTCGCCTACATGTTTATTCAGGATTAACGCTGAACCACTCAAAAGTGCAAAACATTAATGCTGATAATTTTTCCGTACCCTCAGCTGGATGTAAAACAGCTAAATTGATCCAACAGGCAAGTGGCTTGCAGTTATGTTCGCTAGACCTTTCTTATTTCGGGTGTTGACGTTACAACTGATACTGTTGTCCTATACTGTCCTTGAACTGATGCAACTATGTCATTCAGGTGAGTTATTAACACAATTATTCTCTTGTGCTTGAAATAAACTATTTTTAATGAAAGAGCTATTTATTAATAACTCGCTATTTCTAATGTCGGAAAGAAACTTCACCTGTCGGCAACTTTGTTTCTTCATCATGTAGCATTGACATTTATAAACAGCAGGACGATATGGGCATTTTGTTATGCTAGAATTAGCCTCAATTTGGTTGAAATAAACTATTCACCTTTATGAGCTTGATAGCATCTATTTAATTTGGAATTTGTAGAAACGCCTTTTGAATTTCTTTCGAATTTCTTACCGCCCGGTGCCTCGTGTCACTCCCATACGTCTGGACGATGCCAAGCACTCTCGCAGCTTGTGTCCGGAGACTCGGCTTGAGACAAATGTTACACTTTCAATATAATTTATTGTATATGATTATGCATGGGGACAATGTTCGTTTGTATGCGTTTGTTTTAGTCTACTCGGCTACGCACAACGCAGCTTTAGTTAGCATCAGAGAAACTAGCACCAAGTTAACAAGCTCAAAGTAAAGTAACACACATTGACGAGCTCCAGGTATACTAGCACCATGCAAATTACCAGTAGAGAAAACAAATACCAGCAAAGTAGCAACAGATAAAAATGGCTCCTGGCATATTACCAGCAGAGAAAAAAAAAGACCAGGCAAACTAACTTCAGGAAAACTAGCTTTAGGCAAACTAGCGCACGGTAAACTATCACCAGGCACATTAGCGTCAACAGAACTGGTACTAGGGACACCAGCTACTCGTTACATTGATTTGTGACCTCGAATGTAAAGCTCTATCAAATAATGGCAGTAGGTAGAATTTAGGCCATTTATTTGCATGGACTCGTGTTAGGTTACATAAACAGGCTCCTGTACACGGCTGCTTGTGTACGGAAGTCTGCGCACATGCTCACCTTGTCCTTGCCCAGAAATTCCTTTTAAGGGGAGCGCTCGGGCAACTCGCTACAACGGGTCATCCACATCTGTATCCGTTTATGAAGAAAACATTGGTATTGATGTAGCCAAAATAATCTGACGTTAAGATATAATTATTTATACATTATAAAAACAATTAGGAGTAAGTACGTAGCATTTGTGTAAGCTCAGAGTAACTCAATGAAAACAAATCACAAGAAATGTTTAAAAGTCGCAACGTTCAGTGACTTTGCATTCCTATAGGTTGCCAAGTACTATATTTTAAGAGCTGACTTTGACATGAATGTGTTTGTAGCTAAGTTGCATATGCACTACATTTCATTTGCGCATAATGATGAGCTTAGGTGCACAATTGTGCATCTTCATACAATGATAAGAAACTATAGGTTTAGTTTATTTAAGGCTTCAATATGATATTCAAATGTTATATTGAAACTTACTCAGATTCAAAACGATTCAGTAATATAAAAACTGTTGGGTTGAGCTGATATGTATGAATGAAATCACTTTGTGTGAAAAATTATGCCAAGGACTTTTAAAGCTTGCTGAACCATATTTATCCTTAATAACCAATTATTTGATGCACGGAAAAATTACATATATCTATAAATCTCAGGATCAGTTGCCTGAATTTCAAACAGAAAAAAATTTTAAGGAAACTCACAGTGCTTCAGATCAATGATAATGCTTAATTTTTTCATTGTCATTGGCTTTGAGTAGATTGTGATTATAATAGAAATACAGCGACCGAATAGAATTATCTGGCAACTCTAGCATGTTCGTACATTTGTGCGCCGGGTAGCTCCTCAGTTGGCTGGCGGCTTTGGCTGAGTGTGGTGTGAAGCGCGTCAGTTGGTGAATAGCCCCTATTAAACCTTTGCAGTTTTTCCTTCCAGCGAGAACTATAGCAAGGAATATGCAATAATCTGTTGTTCGTGGAAGCCCAGTATCGTGTTTTTAGGTAGTTGAAGTGTGAATAAGCATTAAACTCTCGGCAAATGGTGCAAACCTAGCCGCTGCTTCGATTCAGGCGTCTTTCGGTCAAGTTTGTGTTGACAGTATAGCCGTGATTTTAAGTACTTATACGACCCTTGCCTCTTGTAATTTTTAGCTTCGCCTGATTACAAAACAAGTGATCGAGTGCAATTTGGTAAATCATTGGGATTGAGTGATCAAACCATTACGTGGAACGGTGGAAGTTTGGAACTACAACGACTTCGTCTCCTCAGAGGCTCAGCATAGGTTTACAGGACATCTTATTGAAGGTATGTAGCCTAGTCGGCACTCAGAGTCAGAGTCACTCTCATCTCATTGGGTAGGGTTGTGGGCATGGAAATAGAAGTGTGTAACTGGCATGATAAATTGATCATGATAGTGGCAAATGAAGGATTTTGTGACTCGGTTCATTTCTTATTGCATTTCATCTGTTATTGCATTCTTAGTCCATAATTTTGTTCAGCATGATATGCCCTAGCAGCCCTATCAATGGGATGGGAGTAGGCTAAATACTTAGGAAGTTAGGGGCCATGCCTCAACAAGGACTAAGGACTGTAAGGAGATCAACAAAAAGTTTGTTGATCTCCTTGACAAAAAAAGAAAAAATTGTTGCCACCAAGACTGACTCACTGACAGTGGTGATTGAAAATCTACACCTAATTCATATTTATAATAACATTTCAATAAATGTGCACAATGTAATGAATGAATTAGAAGAGCATACAATTTTTTCAAAAACTGGTCTGTGTTCAAATTTCAAATTATTAAGAACACTCAACAGTCTATCAACAGAGCTGTCAGAGCTTGATGGAATTGGAATACCCAATTCTGATTGGATTGTGCTAGGTTTAGTAGGTTAGAGTTAGACTGTAATGTCAAGTATTGTCAACTAGTTCATTTTACAAATTTGTGATGAAAACTGTACATCCTAAGGCTATTGATTCACAAAATGGGGACAGCACAATTTGTGCACGACCATTAAATTTTTTCTTAGCCACTTAGGTTTGGATTGTATTGGCACATCTTCAGGCACTGTGTTTGTGCAGCCAAACTTAGGGTTAAATCTGAGCCAATTTTATAATATGAGCTTGATTATTTTTATTTTAGATGATTAAGATGAACATATATAGGTCATGTTTGAGGCGAGGCATTGAAAAAAATGTTGGATTATTTGAGAGGTGTATAAACCATCTTTGAGTAAAGCTGAGGTACATAATCAACAGAAACACTTAATTTAAATTGGATCAGATCTCATAACACCTTAAAGTTAGCCTTCCGCTTCCTGTAACAAATTGCAGATGTTTTTGTATCAAGAGCGTGATACAATAAAATCAATATTGAATGCATGAAGTACCGTTCTAGAATTTGATTTCAGATTTTATATACTATGGGAACTAAAGTATTTCAATGAATTTTGATGGTATGCTTTTAGAAAAAAAAATATACTTTATTCTAAAGTAGATGCATCTTTTCTTACAGAGCTGTAGTTATAAAATTCTGAATTCAGCCACAACATTGCTCAAGTTAAAAAGACTGGGTTAAAAACTTATCTTCTTATAGTTTTATTTATGATTTTCAAAATTTGATGCTGTAACTGTTCTCTTCAACCTCATTTGCAGTGGTTGACTTAGTTGTGATTTTCAAGAAATTGTGTTGTAGCTGCGTTTTTCAATATCATTTGCAGTGGTTGAATTAGGTGTGATTTTCAAAAAAATGGTGTTGTAGGTGTGCTTTTCAAGTTTTTAACCTCATTTGCAGTGGTGGNGTTGCCCCAGAGCTTGTGAGGTTTTTGCTCATTCATGAATTCATGAGTCATTCCTCCAAAATTGTCCATCCTCAGCCTGGTACTCTGGCCTCACTTGAACCCTGTATTTCAAGCATTCATAGCTAATCTTTACTAGTTATCTAATGATGATTTTTTGGTTAGATGAGAATGGTTACTATAACTTTGGTGAAAAATCTGCTCCTTTGCAAAATATCACCCATTAATTATTCTTATTGTTATTCTACAAAGTGATCAAATCTTTATGTTGAACTACAGCAACTCTGTCTTCTAAGCATAGGTTCTATTGAAATGTACAATATATAAATGTATTTATAGCGTCCATACAGCACCTTGATAGTGCCCATGTAGCGCCTGCACAGAGTACTATACTATTCTATAGGTCTTATTAAAGGTATGCAGTCTGCACTGTCAGAGAGTGCCAAATCTCTGGCATCTTGTTCAACTGAACTTTGAGGGCACCTTAAAAAAAGACCAGACAAAGTATAAGATTGGATTAAAACATCTATTCTAAATGTACTACCATCTCCAATGTTTCAGTTCCTTAGCCATTGATTGTTCATTAAAAGTAATATGTATCCACTTATTAATTTTTTACTGGTAGAATTAAGATGTTAAAAGGCTTTATGCACAATAAGGAAATTATTAAGGTAGTGTTGATTGAGATGTCTTATGTGCTGATGCACGTTTTGTTGTTGTTATTAGTTTCTTATAATATTAAAATATCAAGCTTACCTACCAAAGTTAGACACCATTACAGTAAGTTCAATCCCTGCAATGATTGTTGGTAACATTTGAGATTGATGATTGAATAAAGCATTATGTTTACATGCTATAAGAAAGTTTTCATTTTCTGGAATAGCATATTACAGTTGAGATTATATGGTGCCAGTATGTACATAAGAGCCATCAAAACTACTGTTTTTAAAGTATAATTGCTGAAATCATAGAATTGAAGAATTGTTCATCTATTGCTGTAGTGATTGTAGTGTAGTGTAGTAATTATTCATCTATTGCTCAAAAGTGGTAAAAGAAACTCTTGAAGTTACCGTTTTGAGTATACATTGCAATTTTCTATCCTAGAGATCTGGTATATTCTATGGAGAGTTACTTTCGAAAATCAGCTTCCTATATAGTTCTGTCGCCAGCCTGTAACAGGTGTGCCTGTGGTGCTTGCCGTCAATACGTTACATGAAGAGCATCAACACGCATAATTCGGCTCTGCGCTGAATAACAAAACTTTAAATCCAAATGTGTGTAAAATAGAAAATATGATGAAAATTTTAATAGAACAAAGTTTTTTCTTCGACCCTTAGCTGAATTTGACACTGGACGCTGCAAATTAGGGTTTCACCAATTTTCGGTAAATGCAATGAAAGACCATTATCATTTCCATCATACGAAATTTTAGTCAGAAGCTCCTAATGTTTAAGCAGGATCTGGTCGTAGTTTGTATGAAACTCGATTTTTCCTGATCGCATAACTGATCGAGTACCTATGCCATAGTCTTGCCTTTCCTGCTCTCAAGTAATCTGACACGTAAATTTTCATATGATATCACGTCATTGTTAACGAATGTCGCTGATCAGGGCGCTGGTTTTATCGGGTTTGGCGTGACTTTCTTTCATTCAGGCACTTAATTCTTGCTGATTATGGCCTCCATGAGAAATAAATTGATATTCATCGCTTCGAACAGCTCTGTGATCGATTTTTTGATCATGCTTTATTATATTTCATCTATAATCATGTATATAATTGCATGAATATGCGAAACGTATGTTGTGAAGTTTATACACAACAATATTTAGTCACCTCACACTCCAATACATGCTGAACTATTACTTTATGGTAGGTATTTCGTATTATGTTTTTTTAACATTATTATTCACATTGATATGAGCACTGAAAGTCGTTCTTACTGTAACTCGGTACGCGTGCCATAATTCGTACCGAGGCCAAAGATGACTTATTGAGTAGGATAGGCCGAGTATAGAGAAGAGTGCTCTGTGCTTAGGACGAGTGAGGTCGCTAAGATGTGCCACAAGATAAACCATGTTATGCACGAACTGCCTCCTCCTCTGTCATTGGGTCTCATTCTGAACCTCTTTTGAACGCTGTCACAGGATGAAAGCACATTGCATTTTAATGCAATTATTCAGCAACTGTTACGGGCATCGATATTAAATTAATTATTTTTCTACAATTTCCAGTTATCGTACTTTTTGTTGTACATATATCACTCATGAAGGGTACTCATAAGGTGCGCTTCTCTGTCTGTAGTCAGAAAGATTTCTTGGCGACTCGGGAAGAATGTTCGCATGAAGGCTTGAGTTTCGCGTTCCGTGTAGGAATATTAGATGGCAAGCGCGTTAGCATACTCGACGCTCCTTGGGATTTCTTCTTTCCTGGAGTTACTGCGTAATTTCACAGTTTCCAGATTACTTCTAGAATGAAGGATGCAGTCTTTTGATATGAGAGGTTTTCGATTAAATATAAAGTGGACCAGTAATTATACTAATTATGTTGCTTATTCATTAATTAGGCTTTCAAAACTAAAAGTGTTAACTCGATGATGGCGTGTGTTGTTTCAGAGTAGTCTAGCAGTGATCCTTGTCTGGTGTGCGGTTAGATGGAGAAGCTCGTAATCGCTGCAGTCGTGTCATCATGCTGCCTTCAGTCCAAGCAGAGGTTCTTGCAACCTAAAATGTTCAGAATAACTTCTCCTGTATTACCCAAATCCTTGTGATAAATTAACACTCGCTAGTACGCAGTATCGGGCGCAGTTCGAGACTACCATCGAAGTGAGGTCATGCGATGGCTCCACGAGTCGGCATGACCAGTTACACGGCGCTGCAGGGACCGGTTCTAGCTCTTCCCCGCGCTCTATGCAGCCATCAAGCCGCTCACTGTCTCGCAGCTTTCTTAATTACTTCTCATGAAATCCTTCTTACGACGCGCGCATTTGTGCCTCACCCGTCTTGTAGCTCTGAGTTGCGTGATGAGCTACATTTATTATCAATTTACTAGAACTACACTGGGGACATTCGTTTAATGGTTCAAATGACCTCAAGATAAGGTCCTAGATATCTCGGAAACTTCAATGACAGATAAACTTTTGAGGACTCGGAAGCGTGTAACCTATAGTAAATGAGAAGCCAACAGACTTCCATTGGTGGTGTGTTCTGATACTGGGTTATTTTGCTCAGTATTGTTGCAGCAAGACTGAGTCAGACCGATGAAATTATCTTGGTATTTAAACACTCAACATTAAGTCTCCTTCATGAACGAATGATCGCAGACAACCGAGAACATGCAATGCCATGACAAGATTAGGAATCTGAATACCCATGTCGACAAATTCGCAAACATTTTCTCCGATTTCTAGTTTTGAAATTTGGCTGGCGTTACCGCACCGTTATTATGCAGTCATTTATCATGATAAGTGTGCGTATTACCATGTCTATGGCGACTCGGGCTTCATACTTA